AAAAGCAGGAAGGAGAAGCTTATTCCATAGGCTGGAGCCTCCTGCCAAGGCCTCCTGGCTGCCTGGCTGACCCTTCCCTCTGCAGCTTCTTACCTTCTCTCTCTCCTGCAGCCTCCAGTGCTGATCTGGTGGGATTTTGATCTTGCTTACTGCTATTACCCATACTAGCTACTATTTACCAAAAGCTTCTTTGAGCCAGGCATTAACCTAAATGCTTTCCATCCCCCCTCCCAACCCTGTGAGGTTAGTGTCATTCCTAACTCCATTTCATAGATGAGGAGACAGAACCTCCCAGGGGTTAATAAATGGCCCAAATCACAATCCTGCAAGGGAGTTATCATTATTCCCATTTTACAGATTAAGAAATGGAGGCTCAGAAAGGTTTAGTACTTATCCAAAGTCACACCATTTCGTTAAAAGAGCTCAAGTCTGTCGGAGGGCAAAGTCCATGTTCTTTCTTACTCTGCATTCCAAATGGAAGTCTCAGGAATTTCACTGCTTGAGCTAAATGATTAAAAAATCTCCCACAGAGATTTCTAGTTCTGCACATCCAAACCAAATAGACGTTAGAAAACAAATACCTGGGGAAGTCATCAGAATTTGAAAGAAATCTATTAAAGACCGCCCACAGGAAAAACACGACATACATTTGTTTCGTAAACACTTCTGTTAGAATCAACTGTATTTTCTAAAGCTCCAAGAAGAAGATAGGAGATAGAAACCAGTTTTGATTGGTTGATCATAGGAACTCACGAGTGTGATGGATTCTTTCTGGCGTTCTACGTAAAGTCACTTCAGCTGCAGCTGTGTCGCTCAGGTATCAGAAGAGAGCAGGGAGAGGACGTGTAGGGGACTGCGGGGTCCCACAGCTCCAGACTGTAGCCTGGAATGGACTCTAAAGATGTTGGAATCCAAACTCTCATTTCATAAATGGGAAAATGAAAACTCACAGGCTGAGTGACTGCTAGTTAACTGTAGAGCAGAGGCCAGAACTCTGGGTTTCCTGATTCTTAAGCCATTGTTCTTTCCATGACAAGAATCAGGTATCACTTTAGAGCATATTCTTTTTTCCTCCTCTTTGAACTCAGAGAGGGAAAAAAGAAAAAGGTGAGAAAGCTTGCAGAAGCATTTAAAAAAACAGAACACTAAGAATCAAGTTATCTTGGAAAGTGTTGAAGAAGGTAAGTGCAGAAGCTGGAATAGCAGAGCACAGAAAAAGATAAGGTCTTATCTAAAGCAATTAGAATAAGGCTATTTGAGGCTTGTGTTACTTGTATTTAGGTGAATGCTCTGAAACAGCAAGCTTTTTGAAATCCGTGGCCAAATCAGAACCTAGAAAGTGACGACTTCTAGTCTCCAAGTAAACATTGAATGTGACATAAAAGGTACTTCAGGTTTTTATACTTGGTAGAAAAAAGAAAAAAGGAAAAATGACAGGAAACAAGATGTGGGCTGGGGTCGTCTGAGTCTACCTCCAGGTCCAGGAAGTCCAAAGCCTACCCATTTTGTGAATGGTCCCAGGAGCTTTTGTTTTTCTGGTCTTCTAGACTTCTGAGATCTTGCTTTCATGTGTAAATTGAGAATTTACTGTAGAGATGGAAGGCGGGGTTGACATCCCAGCAACAGCAAATAAATTCAATCAGAATGGAACTGACCCTGCTCCCCTACCTCTCTGAGCTTCTCTCCACCTGGCTGGCTCTCTCTCTCCTTCCCACCCCCCCACCCTACGCAGGAGCAGAAACAACAAACTTCCTCTAATCTCCTGCAGAGCAGGTTTTCCCCACCTCTGAAGTCCAGGTGCCTATAGAATCCAAGTGCTCAAGGTGGCATCCCTCCTCACAAGCTCATCAAGGAGGCTTCCCCAGTGCCATCTCCCCCCCGCCACCCCCGCAGGAGACAGCTCCCTCCTTCCCCTTCCCAAACAGGCATTGCAGGTCCAGCTGTTAATATTAAAAAAAAAAAACAACAATTTTTTTCCCACGTCTTTATACACAATGGGAAAATTCCTGAGTTTGATTAAGATAGTAGTACTTGCTATACTGTGGTAGTGTTTCTATTTTTTAATTGCTTTGTTCTGTATGGAATTTTATTATCATAACTAAGTGTAATAGACATTTCTTGATATTTATCTGATTTTAATAAACGGTCTTCAAAATCGGAAAGCATTAGTAATCAGATCTAGGCTTTATTCTATCAGTGATTCCCACCAAAGGTGGGTAAATGAAGCAGTTGTAAAGAGGCAGCTTTAGAACTGAAAGCCTTCGGAGGCAACCAGGTACAATTTTAAGGGGTGGGTCTTGAAAACTCAAGCCTGTTAAATAATAGAAAACATCACAAGCTCACTGTTTAGCTTCGAAACTGTTTCCCTAAGCAGGTTTCTCTTTTTGGAGGTGTCGCTCATATTTGAAAGCTGTAAGTCACGGTAGGCAAAAAGTGAAGGAGACGGCTCAAGGGATAGTCTCTGTACTTCTCCATGCTTTTTTCTGTTCCAACCCTTCCATTTCATGAAGCTCTGCCTTCTCCAAATATTTTCTGCTTACAAGGGCAAGGAATACTCAGTGTTCAGGTCTCAGGTACCTCTGGGCAGCTTTGTCCGTCTGTCCTTCTTATCCTCACCTCTATCATGTGTTCCCCTGAGTTCTGCCTGCTCACCTGTTTCCCTCGTTCCTCCTGAAACCTTCCTGCGTACAGCTATCTAAACGATGTGAGAACTTTCCATCAAACGAACACAGGGTTCTCTCCATTGCAACTGTACCGGGCTGTGTCCACCACCCTCTCTCTACAGTGGCAATTCTCAGAGTTTTACTGCCTTCTCTCCTTCTGTCCCCACATTGCATTTCCTCAAAACCCCTATCTTCTTCTCTCAGGTCCCACATCCACCATTTCCGAGTTTTCACCACCGCCTTGCATCTCTGAGGAGGTTGCTTATTTCCTCTGAGCCGCGTGGCCCATGGTGGGGGCAAACTGGCACCGCGTGAAGACTGGGCCTGAGCCACTCACAGCCTCGAGGCCCAACACGGCCAGGCTTGTCCCAGGCGTCATTACCAACAGAGAGATCTTAGCACAATTTTGGAGGGTTTGATTATGCCTTATGTTCCTGATCAAAACCGCTAAGCATAAACAGTGATGATAATTAGTATATTTACATAAACAATACAAGTAGATCAATCCAAGTGCACACTGCATTTTATTAATGGCTTCATTGTTCTCCATCATTGTTTAATTTGCCCCAGTTTCCCTTCCAGCCTTAATGAGCACAACTTTTTAAGTTTAGAAATATAATGAATTTTTTAACTTAAGCAAGCCCTTCTAAGTGTGTGACAGATGGTTAATGTCAAAAGCCCCTGGGGAAGGCTTCTGTTTAGCCTTTGATTTTGTTTTGTGTTTTCAGCCAGAGAAATGTTTGACTGGGCTGATAATTTGTAAGCATACATCAACCATCAACTTTTATCGTCCTTTAAATTCCCGGCTCTCCCCCAGATTTCTCTGCTACTCCTGGCCTAGAAGAGGCTGGGAAACCAGGCAGAAGCATGCCTAAATGGCCTTTGTGATAAGCCTCATGAAGTTATTTTTCTCAATTAATGGTTTTCACCGACAATTTTACTGCTCTGCTTTAAGCTTCTCCATTCCCTTGGGCATCTATACATATGTCTGTGATAAGCCTCATCCAGTCCAACAAAATTGGCCCCTCAGAATACAGACTGCCCTATTTTTAAAAAAGCTCATTTTAAAAAAGCTTTTTTTTTTTTTGAAATGTAACACTTGAAAATACATTGAAACAAAGTAATAGAGCTTTAAAGCTGAGCTATAAAAGTGATTTATTCATGAGTAATACTTATTCCTTTCCCAATTGACATCCATTTATATTAATTTTCCTTAAATGTGTATCCTCAGCTTCTTTCTAGATTTTTACTACTAAAACAAACTTTCTATTCCACCCTTATTCCCTTCTTTTTTTTTTTTTTTTTTCCTTATTCCCTTCTACTTTGCTCCAAAGACTCTCCTATGTGCTGAGAGGGATCCATTGGGGGTACAGAACCACAATTTGGGAAACTCTGCTATGAAATAATAACGCTCCCTAGTCACAATCACTGACTTTATTAGGTAGTCAATTAGCTATTTTTTAATTAGGGAAAGAAAAGTTCCTCATTCATTTTTTCTGAAGTTACTTGAAATGTACTTTTATAATCATGCTCCACTGGTTGCAGGAAAGCTATGGAAAGTACACCTTTTCTTAGGTAAGTGGAAACTTCACTCTATAGGTAAGTAATTTCTTTTTTTTTTTTAAAGATATTTATTTATTTGAGAGAGACAGTGAGTGAGAGAGAAAGAGAACACTAGCAGGGGGAGGGAGAGGGAGAAGCAGACTCCCCGCTGAGCAGGGAGCCAGGACCCCGGGATCATGACCTGAGCGGAAGGCAGACGCTCAACCCACCGAGCCACCCAGGTGCCATAGGTAAGTAATTTATATAAAGACATTTCTATAGCCCATCCTCCCCCCACCCCAAAAGACTCACAGCAGAAGAAAGAACCCCTGATAACAATGTTCCCTTTATATTGTATACTTTTCACAGCGGATTCATACACTTCAGTTCATCCAGTTGTTTTTTTTAACAGATGAGGAAATAGAGACTTAGAGTCTCATGGGAATAAAAGGTAGCACATAGGGAATATAGTACTGATATTATAGTGTTGTGTGGTGACAGATGGGAGCTACACTTGTGGTGAGCACAGCATAATGTCTAGAAATGTGGAATCATGATGTTGTACACCTGAAATTAACGTAACACTGTGTGTCAACTATACTTAAATAAAAAAAATTTTTTTTTAAATAAAGGCTGCCTTCAAGGTCACACAGCTTGTCCATCAGAGACCAGAATTTAAACCACCACTTGATGATTCTGATTAAAAAAAAAAAAATTTCATTTCACAAATAGGATTAGCGATCTAGCAATTTTCATAAACGTTACGGTGCAGAAGCTTTTATAAGCAATACTTACCAGTGACTGTGCTTTCCTTAGCTTAGATCTGCCCTGCAATTTATTTTTCTTATCATGTGATTGTCGACTGAAATCTGGGTTCATTTCATGTCTTTTCCTCCTTCTGTAAATTAGAAATCATTGGAACATTACAAACAATCATTTTAAATTTGCATAGCTATTTGTCTGTTGGACTTGGTTGTTCCTGTGATTTTAAAGGATTGTTTTCACTCAACTGGAAATGAGCCAAATGTAGATCACTAGAGAACTGGCTAAATCAACTCCGGCCCATCCACACAGTGGAGCACTACGAGCTGTAAAAAGGAAAGCTGGGTATTATCACATCCAACTGGGGGGTGATCTCCAGGATATTATTGTTATATGAAAAAAAGAAAGGTGAATAAAATGGTATGTGTTGTGTGCTACCATTTATTTCAGAAATGGATGTGTGTGTTTGCTTAAAATTTTGTTAAATGGAAGGACTATACCATAACATCTTGAAAAACGGTTACCTATGAGTAGGCTTCACATTGCGACCCAATCAAGAACAAAGAACAGTATGGAGGGGTAGGAGCAGAAGCTAGAATTCTCCAAATACACTTTGCTTTATATATTTGACTTTGGCCTATAGATCCAAAAAATACTTTTTTAAAAAAGATTTTATGTATTTATTTGATAGAGAGAGCCCAGCAGGAGGGAGAGGGAGAAGCAGACTCCACACTGAGTAGGGAGCCTGATGCAGGACTCCATCCCATGACCCCGGATCATGACCTGAGCGGAAGGCAGATGATCAACCGACTGAGCCACCCAGGCACCTCTAGATCCAAAAAAGACTTAAGTGACACATGGACTAAATACAACCCGTCCTGACCTTGTTTGGAACTTGATTAAATAAGCCAAATGTTTAAAAATATCATTTATGAGACGTTCAAAGATACCTCAAAACTGACTTGATATTTGATTGATTATATTATGAAATCATCCATTGATTTAGATGTGATATATATATCATACTATGATTCTTAGAAAGAGTTTATCTTTTAAGGATAGGCATTGATTGAAATATGTATGAATGAAATAATATGACATTTATATTTGTCTCCCAAGTGACTTGGGGGAAGGCCAGAGTGGGTGAGGGATAAGTTAATGAGTTCAAAACTGTTAATGCTAGCTGATGGTTACAAGCAGTTGTATTCTCTCTACTCTTATATATTTGAATTTCCACTATAAAAACTTTATTTATTTGTTTGTTTAAAGATTTTATTTATTTTGAGAGACAGAGAAAGCAAGAGAGTGAGCGAGAGCAGGGGGAAGGGCAGGGGGAGAGAGAGAATCTTAAGCTGACTCAATGCTGAGCCCAGAGCCCGATGCGGAAACCATGACCCAAGCCGAAATAAAGAGTCAGAATGCTTAACCAACTGAGTCACCAGACACCCCATAAAAAATTTTATTTAAAAAGATCAGCTTTCCCAAATATTTCTTATTGCTTAATTTGTAAAAATTTCCCCCAACTTTTAATTAAGAAGTTTCAACATACAAAACAGTTGAAAGAATAGCACAGGGCGCCTGGGTGGCTCAGTCGTTAAGCGTCTGCCTTCGGCTCAGGTCAGGTCATGATCCCAGAGTCCTGGGATCAAGCCCCGCATCAGGCTCCCCTGCTCAGTGGGAAGCCTGCTTCTCCCTCTCCCACTCCCCCTGCTTGTGTTCCCTCACTTGCTGTCTCTGTCAAATAAATAAACAAAATCTTTAAAAAAAAAAAAGAAAGAATAGCACAGTGATTACCCATAAACTCTCCAACTAGATTCAACAATTAGTAACATTTTGCTATTTTTGCTTTCTCACTATATATACATAGATACATATATATACATGCACATGCCACATATATATGTATATATGTATTTTTGCCACACCATAGGAAAATAAATTGCAGACACTTCACCCCTAAATACTTCAACACTCATCTCCTAAGATAAAGACATTTGCCTCCCTAACCACATTAGTATCATCATACTTTGGAAAATGAATGGTAGTTCTTTAATATCATTTAATATTCAGGTCATATTCAAATTTCTGCAATTGTCCCAAGAATGCCTTCTATAGTCTTCTTTTAAAAATCAGAATCCGGGCGCCTGGGTGGCTCAGTTGGTTAAGCGACTGCCTTCGGCTCAGGTCATGATCCCAGGGTCCTGGGATCGAGTCCCACATTGGGCTCCCGGCTCAGTGGGGAGCCTGCTTCTCCCTCTGACCCTCTCCTCTCTCATGCTGTTTCTCTCTCGCTTGCTCTCTAATAAATAAATAAATAAAATCTTTAAAAAATAAAAAATAAAAAAAAAATAAATAAAAAAATAAAAATCAGAATCCTATCTAGATTCACACTGCATTTGGTTGTTATGTCTCTTATGTCTAGAATATTTTCCCCACTTCTTTTTTTCCCCCATGGCACTGACTCTTGGAAGAGTCCAAGCATCTGGGCTATCTTGGTGAATGTAGCACATGCACTTAAAAAAATGTGTTTGTGGAATTGTCTATTTATCTCTTTAAAGCTGTCAATTTTTGTCTCATGTATTTTGAGGCTTTGTAATTAGGTACATATGCATTTGTAATAGTTATATCTCTCTGCTTAGTTAATCCCTGTATCATTATGAAGTGTCCCTCTTTATCTTTGGTAATACTCTTTGTCTTGATGTCTGTTTTATTTGAAATTAATGGTCATTCTAGCCTTCTCATGTTTTTTCTTTGCATGGTACATCTTTTTCCATCACTTCATTTTTAAATCTATTTGTGTCTTTAAATTTAAGGTGTATCTCTTGTAAAAAGTGTACATTTGGGTTTTGCCTTCTTACCCATTCTGATAATCTCTACCTTTTGATTGGGTGTTCAGTACATTAACATTTAATGTAATTATTGCCTTTCACAAACAGTATTTGAGGTCACAGAAAACTCAAGACATTATCACTTTATCTCATGTTAATGTACTATTCATATGCCTGGGTATCTAAGTTTGCCTCTTTCTTATTTACCACCATAGTTCAGACCAAGGGCCACATACAAATTCTTAAATACTATCTTCAGGGATACATTGATCAATACATAGTCAATACATTCACAATGATTCAAAATTCAAGAGTTCAAAAGGATGTACAGTGAAATTTGTCTATCTATCCTGTCTCTAACTTGCCATTCTCCTCCTTGAAGGCAAACGATACATATCAGTTTCTTGTGTATATTCCAGAGATATTTTATGTATAGATATTTTATGTATATATATATATTTTCTTATCCACCTATTTTAATATAAATGGTAGTATTTCTTTTATGTTCTGTTTTGTACCTTGCTTTTTTTCTGCCCAGTATTTTCTAAATTATAAGCAAACTAATTAGACTTTTTCTGATACAACCAGATGAATTTAAAGTTCATGAAGGGGCGCCTGGGTGGTTCAGTGGGTTAAGTGTCTGCCTTCGACTCAGGTCATGGTCCCAGGGTCCTGGGATCGAGCCCCACATTGGGCTCCCTGCTCAGCGGGAAGCCTGCTTCTCCCTCTCCCACTCCCCCTGCTTGTGTTCCCTCTCTCACTGTCTCTCTCTCTGTCAAATAAATAAATAAAATCTTTAAAAAAAAAAAAAGTTCATGAATTGAAAGGCTACACTTCTCTCAAAATCAGTTAGTGAGTATTGCAAAGTTGGTCAGTCGTGATATAAAAATGAGTAAGGCATGGTCTGCACCCTCCAAGAGCTTGAGTCTTGCCTAATGAGGGATACCACTCTCATCTCACCTCCGAAGGGACTCCAATAGTCCCAAAGATACACATGTAATCTCAATGTCCCCAAGTCATCAGACTTTCTGGGATGACCCTTTCTTTTATTAGCCAAATCATATAATTTAAGAAACCATCCTACATAAGAAGTGCTTACTTACTATATGTCAGGTACTATCATAATCATGTCACATACATGAGGATTACCCCACAGGGATCGTGTGAGTTAGGTGTTACCATTATTGCCATTTTACAGGTGCAGAAACCAAGGCACAGAGAAGTTAAGGAACTCCCCAGGATCACAAAACTAGAAGTGTGGGAGTCTGGATTTGAACCCACACAGTATGGCTCCCCCTCTTAGGCTGCCTTGATGTTAATCTGTTGAAATATATTCTGAAAACATGGCAGATATATTAAAACATTTTAAAACCTTTCAAAATTTGTTTCCTTTATTTCTCGTTTATCCTGTACATGCGCATACATGTGTGGATTAACAGGTACATATGTGTATACAGATGCAGATGTATATTTTTTTACTTTCTCTTCTTTCTGTACTATGGGTGGCATACTGTAGGTGCTCCCTTGACATTTGCTTTTCTCACTTAACAACTTACCCTTTCACTCCTTACCAGTTCATAGAGTTCGTCCTCATTTTTATAGTTGCCTAATACTCCATCGTGTGAATGCACCATACATAGTTTATTTAACAGATACTCTCCATGTAGGAAAATTTAAGTTATTCCCAATATTTTAAAGTCATAAATGAGGGATGCCTGGGTGGCTCAGTCAGTTAAGTGTCTGTCTTTTGCTCAGGTCATGATCCCGGGGTCCTGGAATCGAGCCCTGCGTCAGGCTCCCTGCTCAGTGGGGAGTCTGCCTCTCCCTCTTCCTCTGCCCCTCCTCCCTGCTGTGTTCTCTCTCTCTCAAATAAATAAATAAATAAATAATCTTTTTAAAAAAATATTTTATTTTTTGAGAGAGAGAGAGCACGCGCGCACGCACACACAAACACACAAGCAAGGGGGAGGGGTAGAGGGAGAAGCAGACTCCCCTCTGAGCAGGGAGCCCAACACAGAGTTTGATCCCAGGACCCTGAGATCAGGACCTGAGCCAAAGGCAGCCACTGAACCAACTGAGCTACCCAGGCATCCCTGCAGATTTGTTTTAATGATGAAATGGGTTAGCAATTTTGAGATTACTTTCAGAATTTGTAAGTAAATATATACTGTTTATATATATGTGCATATTATATAGTATACAATTTTTATACAAGTTATATATGTACATATATAGTTTTGATTATATATTATATGTACATATATAATTTGTATAAATAAACATGAGAGCCAGGTTTCTCCTTGTCAGAGAAGGGAGGTGCAGATATGAAAAAGGAAAAGACCAGAATGAACTCTATGGTGCTAGATTGAAATTTGAAGTATTAAATATTAAAAGAAGCTGTAATGTTAAATCACAGTAGCTACAAAATGCAAACAAATCCTGATGAACAGGGTAAATTTACCAATAATGTTTCATTTACTTTTCAATGACTTTTTGCTTCTATGTATTGAAAAGCATTTGTATTTCACAAGAAATGCTTTTTTCCTCTTTTCATATACTTAAGTGCCAGCAAATTGTTTCTAACAAAGAAGAGCACGGAATTTCTCACCCTTGCCAGATTTGCTCAATGGGGTCACAGTTGTCCAGGTAATTAAAGCGAATGATATCAGTTGGATGCTTGTCAGAAGATCTCCAGGGTGGGAGTTCTTTCTCCCCTGGGTGGGTTTTCTTTCTCAAAGAGGAAGAGGACCTGAAAGCTGATGCAGGGGACTGCTTTTCCTCTGCAGAACTGCTTGTAACTGGTTGAACGTTGGCAACAGCAAACCCATCTTTTGGAGGTGTCTGGAAGAAGAAAATTAATTATTTCTGTTCTTAAAACATCATAATAATTGCAACAATAAAACATCATCATACCACCACCATCATCATCATCATCATCAACATCATCATCACGACTGCAATGATCATGGTGACAATTATAGCAGCCACCACCCCAGGAGTCCTTGTATGTGACAAGTACTGTCTCAGGAAGTTTTCATGCATTATTTTATTTAACCTTCATAATAACTCTAAAAGGTAATAGTTACTACCCCATTTTACAGAACAGGAAACTGAAGATGGAATAAGCCAATGAACTTGCCCACTACTACCTAAGTGGTAAGACAGAGGGTCAGAATGTGAATCTAGTACTGTTTTGCTTCAAGTCCTTGTACTAACCCTCTCTATCCTGGACTGCCACCACGCCTACCACATCATTGTATAAGTTTTCCACAATTGCAGTTAATTGACTCATAAAAACGTACACATTTCAAAAAATAGTACTCCAGGCTTAATTATCTGTAGCACGTAGGGACAACTTTGAGTTATACAGAGGTAGACTGTAGATTTTATCAGTTATCAAAATCTTAACTGCTCTCAAAGAATACTTTTGCTTTAATTTCCCAAATGGAAAGTCTATTTTTGTGTGTGAAATTCATAAGGTTTTTATGTGGTTGTAACCTAAGGGAAGCGGTAATGGTATGTTGAGAAGCCATTAAAGGCTTAATTTTTGTTCTTTAAGAGATTAGGGAAGCTTTGCGTGGTAAATTGGTTTGCTTGAATTGTTTGTGATAATTAAGAAATTCCCCCATCCCTTCAAGCAGGATCAGTTTCTTATCCGTTTCAACTGTTCTTTGTATATATTTCTGTTGTAATTATGTGTTTGTCTATGTCCTAGGCCACTAGACTCAGCTCCTTGAAAGCAGGGTTAGGATCATTATACTCAGCACCTAGCACAAAACAGTATTTAATAAATATTTACTAATTTAATAAATGTAGTTTAGTAAATTAAGACGACATTTTATATTTATATAATTCATAGCTCATTATTGGTTTGGTATTCAATATTTTGTTCAGGTCTCATTTAGCATGGACATTCCTTTCATTTCTCTGAGCTTATATTGAACAAAAGCTGTTTTTGCTGAAGAAGGCTTAGTTTGATACTACTGCGAATAAATAATACATGATAAAAAGTTTCAGGGGGAAAAATTTAGGCATAAGTGCTAGTAATTATATATAAATAAACATTATCCATTCTGAAAAAAACGGTTGACACTAACAAAAGAGGATATAATGAAAACTGATTTTTCTGTATTAAGTAAACAAAATTTTTGTTTGATTCACCTAAAGTCTTTGAGAATTTTTAAAATCATGATGTTGAACTTTTGTTAAATGCTTTTGTCTGCATATACTGAAATGATCATACATCTTTTCTCTTTTATTCTGTGAATTACATTGGTTAATTTTTTAATATTATGCCAACCTTACTCTCCATGGATACTTCCTACTTGGTCATCATGTATTATTCTTTCTTTGTATAGAACTTGATTTAATATGTTAATATTTTTAAAGGATTTTTATGTCTACGCTCATGAAGGATATTAATCTGTGATTTTGTTTTGTTTTCTTGTAAAGGCCCCATCTGGTTTTGGAATAAAGGTAATGAGTTGGGAAGCATTCCCTTGTCTTCCATTTTATGAAAAAGTTTATGTAGAATTGATATTTCTTCCTTAAATGTGTGATAGAATTCACCAGTGAAGGTATCTGGGTCTGGAGTTTTGTGGAAAATTATGAATTTGATTTTTAAGTTGATAAAGATTTATTCATGTTTCCTATTTCCTAGTGAGACTGTTTTGTAATCTGTATTTTCGAGAATTGTCCATCTCATCCAGGTGGTTGAATTTAGTGACATGGACTTGTTCATAATATTCTCTCATTATCCTTCTCATGTTTACAGGATCTGTAGTGATGCCCCCTCTTTCATTTCTGTTACTAGTAATTTATGTTTTCTCTTTTTTCCTACATCGGCCTACCTAGAAACTTAGGAATTTTATTTATGTTTTTGAAGAAGCAGCTTTGGTTTCACTGATTTTCTCCATTGTTTGTTCTAATTTCATTGATCTTAGCTCTTTATTACTTCTTCTTTCTATCCACTTTGGGTTCAACTTACTCCTCTTTTTCTAGATGAAGACTTTTTGAAATTATGCTGTTTGGAGTAGATATAGCATAGCCTGACAGACAGGTATAAAGATCATTCTAGTCTAGTGCTCTCATTTTAAGGTTGGGGAAACTAAAATTAGCCACAACCATTTGCTCATAAAATGCTTTCAAAAGCTCTGCTGGAGCACCTGCCAGGTACAGGGTGTTGAGGGAAAGGGAACCAGGGAAGGTGCTTGAGTAGAGGTAAATTATGCTCTAATCCAGTGGCTGCCTACATTCACCATCACTGGAGCAACCTCACACGGAATTACCCAAATTACTCAAGTATGCACAGGGCTGACAGTTGACTTTTTAACCTTAGTCACATGACTTTATTAACCTTAGTCACATGACTCCTTAGTCTTTCTGACTTAGGTCTATTTATTAAACAGAAAAACTAACTTTCAATATAACAAAGTGTTCCCTAAAGAAATTTAATACTAAGCAAAGAGGGGGCAATTTTCTTGCATCAGAATGAATCATCATTTTAAAATATAGTTATGCACATTTTATAGAAAAGAATTATGGCTGAAGACAAAGCTTTCAAGCGTTTTTTTTTTTTTTATTTAAGATTTTATTTATTTGACAGAGAGAGATATAGCGAGAGAGGGAACACAAGCAGGGGGAGTGGGAGAGGGAGAAGCAGGCTTCCCCGTAGAGCAGGGAGCCCAATGCGGGGCTCAATCCCAGGACCCCAGGATCATGACCTGAGCCGAAGGCAGATGCTTAACGACTGAGCCACCCAGGCGCCCCTCAAACGGTTTTATAAATAATAACTCAAAGCCTCTTTTCCCTGTACAAGTTGGTTAATCACTTTTCTCTTCTCTGCCCCAGAATGGCCCAAGCTTCAGCTATTGAATGCCATTCCCTGCCCCTAACTGAAAATGAGAGTCAAGAAAAGCCTTATCAAATCTCGAAAAGAAATCATAGCTATGGCAATTTTTAAAATAACTTTTTCCATCACTGCAGTTGAAGTTTCCTTTTTAAAAGACATCCTCATGGAGCACACCAATTACTGAAATCAGAAAGGCTAGTTTTATCATTGCAATTGTAACAGTATTAATTATGCATAGTTTATTACTATACTAAATGTAGATGGATTCTACTTTAAAACAATAAAACTAAACCTAAATGAACAAGCTAGGAGTTGACTATTCATCTTTCAAAAGGATTCTTCATTTTTAAAAGGATTCACTGCAATTTTTTCATAGAATATGATACCCCTGTGGTTTTAAAAATCATTAAAAATTTTTAATTTACACATAATTTTTCAGGAACTCATTTATTGTACAAAACGATGCATAGCTCTGCATGTGTATAGATCATACCATAAAGAAAAGGCTCATAAAATTTTCCCATGAGTTATCTAATTAACTGTGACTATAAGAATGAACATAAACATTGGTTATAATGCAGAGAAAACAACTAGAAAAATTACTCTTGCATTATTTACTTTTTATCATTATATGCAAATGATTTACATGCTTAGTTTTTTTTTTTTTTTAAGATTTTATTTATTTATTTGAGAGAGAGTGAGAGAGACAAAGAGCACAAGAGGGGGGAGCGGGAGAGGGAGAAGCAGACTCCCCGCTGAGCAGGTAGCCCGATGCGGGACTCGATCCCAGGACTCCAGGATCATGACCTGAGCTGAAGGCAGTCGCTTAACCAACTGAGCCACCCAGGCGCCCTACATGCTTAGTTTTTAGATTAAAAAGAACTTTAGTATACTCATTATTCCCTCCCAAAATTATGGATTTATTGGAAAACTTTTCTTTATAAATGATATAAAAATAACCTTTAGCTCACCCGGTAGAATCAGAAAATTTGAATTAATAAAGTAGAATTTGATGACCCATTGATAGCAAATACTGCACAATACCCACAGAGTCCCAGTGTCAGAACTGCCTGGCGTGTGAGTCAGAGATCCGGAAATCCAGGAATCCGAACAGAGTGAGCAGCTCCACGGTCCTAACCTCTTGGGAAACTGCTGGTTTAAGAGTGTCTGATGAGGGTTCTCAGCTAACATGGATGTCTTGAAAAAGGCTATCGAGTTCTCAGAAAAGGCGAATTTTGAAGTAATAGTGTATTTCCTTTGCTTACATTGCTTAGTTTCTAGATTAAAAAGAACTTTAGTATACTCATTATTCCCCTCCCCAACTTCTTAGTTCTAGAATTCCTTTTTTTTTTTTTTAAGATTTTATTTATTTATTTGACAGAGACAAAGAGAGAGGGTACACAAGCAGGCTTCCCGTCAAGCAGGGAGCCGGATGCGGGGCTCAATCCCAGGACTCTGGGATCAGGACCTGAGCCGGAGGCAGACGCTTAACAACTGAGCCACCCAGGCGCCCCATCTTTCTTTTTTTAAATCCATTTAGCATACAGTGTGATATTAGTTTCAGGTGTACAATTTAGTGATTCAACACCTCCATACAACACCTGGTGCTCGGTGCTTGTCACAAGTGCCCTCCTTAATCCCCATCACCTGTTTAACCCAATTTCCACCCCTCTTCCGTATTCCTAAATAGCTGATATTTGTACGTTTGTTGCTATTTGCCCCAAATTTACCTTAGGCTTGGTAACATGAAGTTCTTTTACCATTTGAATGTAGTGCTTCTTCCATATACCCTGCTCAAAGGGAGTTGGAGAGAAATTGATGTACCAGTTAAATCGTAAACATTTGAGCATCCAGAGCTGATCCAGCTCAGTTAAATTCTTCCAGTGCCAGCTCACCTGGAAAAACAATTGGAAAGGGAAAAAAAGCCCTACTCAGTCTGCATGCCCATTTTCTCTAGGTCTTCAGCTGTCACCCTAGACCCGAGATAACTCTTTCTTCCAAATCAAAGCTTAAAAAGTTACCTACCTGAAGTGCTCCCTACCCAGGCAGAAGGATTTTCTTTAAATGTTAAATCACACTTAGATTCAGAGTCAACTAATATTTATCAAGTACCTATTAACCATCCCCTGTAAGGAGGCAGGTTGCAAACGAGAGGACTGTGGCTCAGATAGATTTTGGAGCTTCCTAGAAGTTCCTGAAGTTGAAAGTTATATGAGGGTTATAGAAACTCAGATCTGCGTATTGTTTACTCATATTTTGGTATGCTTCCATTTTCTCTTCATTCTTATGATTTTACTAAATAGAAATTTTATAAACAGAAAGCAATTACTGGTATCATATGGTGTGTCCTATATAGCCTTTAAGATTCCATAAAGCATACACTACTAGCTCTGTACATGCCATTCCCCCAGGATTATGATCAATTTCACACATCCAGCAAATGATGGTGGTGACCCTACTATGTGCAGCAGTGTTTACAATAACTTACTCCAGATTTTGAACAAGTCTTGCTGAAAACTAGGGTCAAGATCACGTATAAAGTTCAGACCACGGGTTCTGTGTCTTGGTTATAAGAGTTGCAACGATGACACCTAACCTTCCAACGCAAATTTCATCCTTGGAAAACTGGCTTCTTTTTCAACACTAATTAAATCATTAATAATTTTTGAGCACACACACACACACACACAAAAGAAAGAAAGAAAGAAGAAAGGACAGAACACTGTAATATACATCCATTTATCTGACCCTCCCATTCTCCCTCATTCCATCCACCAAGTGCTGAGTTCCATTATGTTTAGCATTGTTTTCTGTGCTGAAGAGGAGACATACAGGAGAGGGGAGGGCACAATTACAAGAAATAACAGGTTCAGGAGCTGGAAGGACGAAAAAGGGTAGAGAATCTGACAGAGCCCCGCAGGCAGGAACAGAAATCACATCTACTTTGTTCAACGCAGAAATGAAACAACATCAACTTTAATCCCCATATGGTTAATTAACTCAGAATTCAGCAGAAAGGTGAGATTTTGCAGGGAGGGGATGAGGAGAAAAGTTTCTCAATTCTCACCCTTTTCTTCATTTTTCCTTACATCTTGTTTTGACCTGGGTATTAAGTTGGTTTTGATTCCCCCAGGGTAGATAAGGCTTTTGTATGTTTTGTTTTTGCTTCTCGGTGTTTTTTGTTTGTTTTAAAGTAGACAGGAATGAGGAGAGTTGAAGGGTAGGTAGGAAAGGCGCCTGGGTGGCTCAGTCGTTAAGCGTCTGCCTTCGGCTTGGGTCATGATCCCGGGGTCCTGGAATCAAGCCCCGCATCGGGCTCCCTGCTCTGAGGGAAGCCTGCTTCTCCCTCTCCCACTCCCCCTGCTTGTGTTCCCTCTCTCGCTGTGTCTCTCTCTGTCAAATAAATGAAATCTTTAAAAAAAAAAAAAAAAGGGTAGGTAGGAGCTTTCAAAATTATCAGCACCCCCCATCTTTTTAAACAGTTCAAAGGTCATCTTACTGCAATGGTATTATTGTTTAAATCTATCTGAAGGACATCTGCCTGTGTCTTCCTCACAGGCAGGGCTGGGAACAAATGTAATGCTGAGATCTTGCAAGACTGACATATGATACACATATATGACAGGATTAGTGATTTCAAATAACATTTTCCTCCAATGATAACATTCTCATTGTGCAAAACTTGGAAAATTCCAAGACTTCAAGAAAAACAATACCCGTTACCCCATCAATCAGAGATGACCTTTATTAACAACCTGACAGAGTTCTTTTCTTTTTCCTAAGCATGCAGGAAACAAAATTGGGAAATTCTATATATACAATTTTAAATTGTGCTTTCTTCATTTCACATATTATAAGCATCTTTGTTCTTGGAAAACATGTTTTCTAATGGCCACACAATAATTCATCATATGGTTATATGATAGTCTCTTACTATTGGACATTTAGAATGCTATGCTCTTTTAAGGAATGTTTCATTTTTGGAATAAGTAATATATGTACATTAATACTAAATTTAAAGATCCAAAGAGACATGCGGTAAAAGAGAGTCTCTCTCATCCCCATCCTCTGGTCACTGCTTCCCCTCACAGGATGTAACCACGGCTACAGCTCCTGTGTGTCATTCCAGGAACATTCTAGGCCTATATTAATAAATATGCATATATTCTTTTTTCTTTCAAAAGTGGTAGGACAGTTCTGCACCTTTGCTTTTTTTGCTGATGATCAATCTTAAAGATTGTTGCAATTTATTTATTTATTTTTAAAGATTTTATTTATTTATTTGACAGAGAGAGACATAGCAAGAGCAGGAACACAAGCAGGGGGAGTGGGAGAGGGAGAAGCAGGCTTCCTGCAGAGCAGGGAGCTCGATGTGGGACTCGATCCCAGGATCCTGGGATCATGACCTGAGCCGAAGGCAGACGCTTAACGACTGAGCCACCCAGGCGCCCTATTGCAATTTATTTAACCAGTCCCCTAATGGTGGACATTTCCAGTGTTTCCAAACTTCTGCTATTACAAACAATACTGCAGTATTCTTATACAGACAATTTTTGCATATCGAGGCACTCCAAGAAGGGGAACTGCCGGATCAAAGGGAATCTTTCTTTCTTTTTTTAAAAAATTTTATTTATTTATTTT